GTGTGTGTGTGTGTGTGTGTGTGTGTGTGTGTGTATCTAAAGTTTTTAAAGTTCTAGATTTTACTTTATGTCACCAATTTATGCTTTTTTTTAAATACAAAAAGGAATCTTTTTTTATAAATGCGTTACGGTATTATCTAAAATATATTCTGAATTCTTATACATAATATAAGAATTCAGAATATATTTTAGATAATACCGTAAATATACTGTAAATATATCTTTCAAAAATTAGATCTTTAATTAATTTTTATAAAGAACTAAAAATTGTAAATCATCAAAATATCTTATTCACTTTTTATCTCGAAGATCAATTCTGTAAATTCATCTTTGAAGCATCATTCCATTATTTCATTAAAAATTCTGGTTCAGAAATACTTATGTTAAACCCTTTGTTCCATCCTGTATTTTTTAATTACGAGAAATGGAACTTCTCTCTGATTATCTATTGACAATGTATTGCTCGCGGGTGAGCGATTCTTTTTGAACTCATATGAACAAAAAAAAGATCGATTCAATTTTGATTTAACTTTATAGAAATCAAAATATGGAATCCTTTTTGAATTACCGAAAAAAAAAATCTTTTTGAGTTTCATAACAATCATCTGTATTATTAGAATGCTCTAACTTTCAAAGTTTTAAACATAATAATTCCAAAATTCTAGATAAGGCTAATTAAAAGGTCTAATAATTTATAAAATTTAAAACAAATAGTTGAGAAAAAACAGAGTATAAAAGCCAATGCAAGATCTTAGTGGTTGTAATGTATATAAAGTGAAAATAGATATAAAAATGAAAATATATGATAGACGTTTCGATCTTAGATCAGATTATTTTCAATTCTACATGACTGCGTTCAGCAAAAAAAGCAGCTTTGCAACTGTTGTAAGATTCTTCAATATGATTTATTTATATATTCCATGAGGAATTAAGAGCAATCATATCAAAGATTTTTACAAGTTGCAAAGTTGCTTTCTCTGCTGAACGCAGTATTGAATATAAAATTCATTTCATGAATATAAAATTCAATTAAAAACAAAAATTAAACAAATCATGCTATTTTTTGTGTATCATCTCTCCCTCACTTCTATATTTTTGCCTCATATATCCTCCTGAGACTTTCTGACTATTTCCATTCATTTTCAGTTGTCACTCCATTCGTCGTCTCTATCATTGATAGATGGCAACTTCATACTACTTCTTCATATCATTTCCTAGATAGGCTAACGTCTATCAAGATGTAAAATTTATCAATATTATCTCATCAATATTATCAATATTATCTCTATTTTAATCGACTATTATTCTTCTTTTTAAGTTTCGATCATGCGTTTTTAAAAAAAGCTTTGTTAAAAAATTTTTCTAAAAAAATTTTTATATTTGATAATGTTTATTTTAAATTTGATTATTCCACACGTGTGGATTCAAAATTTCACACTTTATAAATTTGATTAATTTTCATTCCTTTTTTGATATTTTTGTCATCTAATTATACATGCTTTTTTCTGGTAAAATATGTTCATATGCGCTCGAGATGACATCTTTTTTTGGCTAAAACGTTACATATTTTTTCATAATTTGACTACGCAATAATCATGATTACAAAAAAAGAAAAAATTTCTACCTAACATGAACATTCACTAGTCAAATTGCTCAACTGGAGATTCGTTAACAACTTACACAATAAGTAAAAAGGCGGAGACAAATATAGGAATAATAAGTGTACTGTTTGCTGTATTTTTGACTGTTTATAACTCATCTATTATTACTACGTATATTATTAGATTGATGCAAATGAAATGGCCGTTTTCAATATTTTGAATTTTCTATCTCTAGATTACTTTTCTTTCATACAGAGGATGGTGTATATATACTGTGTGAAAAGTACATGGTCCACATGTGATTTAGTGCACATAACCTTATTTATATATTGTACTATTAGTCATAGAAGTTTGCATTTAACGCCATGATGGAAAATAGAGAAATTCGTATAATTTACTTGTACGAGTTCAAACTTGGTCATACTGCAGCCGAGGCAACGCGTAACATTAATACTGCATTTGGTGAAGGTACTGTAAGTGAAAGAACGACGAGGCATTGGTTTAAAAAATTTCGTTCTGGGGACACAAACGTCAATTTGCTTCGCGGACACATCTTCCATCATGACGTTATTTTGAAAGAGATGGTTGAAGCAGATCCGAAGTTAACAGTCCGAGAGATTGCCGAAAGACTCGAAGTTAATCATTTAATCGTTGTTCGATATTTAAACAAGTTGGGAAAAGTGAAAAAGTTGGATAAATGAGTCCCCCATAAAATCACAGAGAGAAACAAATTGAGACGTTTGAAGATCTGCACTTCTTTGCAGTTCCGACAGAATACAGACGGAATTTTACACAGGATTGTGACTTATGATGGAAAATGGATTTTGTACGACAACCGCCGACATTCTGCGCAATGATTAGATGCGAATGAGGCTT